GCTTGTGCCCAGACCAGGAATCGAACCCCGATCTCCTGGATCCTAGGTCGACGCTCACCCGCTGAGCCACGCCAGCCGGGCCAATTTTTTTTTTTTTAGTAATGAAAAGGTAGATATAGCAGAAGGTAGGAAGGAGTGCTTTTTAATTTTTGCGGGCTGTCCCGCCTTCGCTCCCTCCCCGTGTGGTGGGGGCCCCTCCCAAACGGCCTGTGTCAGCACCGACTGGGTGGAATCCGGGCCAAGGACCGCAGGGAGCTGGGCGCAGGCGCCACAGGGTTCTTATTGGGGTAAGAGCCATGCCTCCGCCTCCTCCCCGCTAGCAAAAGGCAGCCCAGACCCCTTCCTCTGGGGAGGCCTCCTGGCTGCCCAGGGGGCTCCTCCCNGGGTAAGAGCCATGCCTCCGCCTCCTCCCCGCTAGCAAAAGGCAGCCCAGGCCTGACTGCTTGTTCAGGTTTGTTTTGTTTGGACCTGCATCCCACTTTTCCAAAACCCGGAGGCAGGCTCCTCCCTTCTGCTCCCCTGCCTTCTCTGCGTCTCCCCTCCCTGCGGGCACCTCCTCCACTAGTGTTTCAGACCCCTTCCTCTGGGGAGGCCTCCTGGCTGCCCAGGGGGTTCCTCCGAGCGGCAGCTTCAGGGGACTCTGGGGCCACCCTGGGGCCATAAGGCCCTTCCAGGTAAGGATGACAAAGGCGGGAAGTGCTGGGCACCTGTCCCAGATCTAAGTATCTAAATATCTTCCAGCACTCTGAGTGGCTCTCACTCCCAGTCTGTGAAAGGCAGGAGTCCCCTCCACCCTGCACCTCGCAAGGTTTCAGCACTGGGGCTCTAGGCAGCTCAGTCTGAAGCTCCCCTGTGCTGTCAGAGAGCCTGGGAAAGTGCTTCAGGCTCTGAGCCTGGGAAACGCAAATCAGCAGCCAGTCCATTCTTAACCACTCACCCTGGAGGAGGGGCGAAGGGGCTCAGGGTCCCAAAACGTGGGTGATCTAAAGTATATAATTTACGCATGCCCTAAACCTTGTCAAACCAAATGGGGCCCCTGCAGCCTAAATGCCAGACACTACTGTCCCCCCTCTGCAGAAGACACCGAGACCGACTTTGGAGCAGACCCTGGGCTAGGTGCTTTACACACATTCTCTTAGTTCTTATAATAACCGCGTCTGGCTGGCAGTGGCAAACCCATTTTACAGATGCAGATAATGAGGATCAGAGAGTTTAAGGAAAGTCTGAGTTCAAAATTTAAGGATAGGGCACAATGGATTGGTGTGGGTGGAGAAGGGATTGGGAACAGCCCAGATGACAGCTGATGCCAACTCCTTGGCTCCAGTGCCCCTTACTACCATGTTGGGAGTAGGCCCAGTTCCAGTGTGCTGTTAAGGAAACTGAGGGCCTTTGAACTTTGCCACGAAGGCAAGTTCTTTTGAACTCTCTGGGCCTCGGTTTTCTCACCTGTAAAATGGGGTCATTGTGAGGATCAGGCCATCTTGCCTAGCGCCTGCATGTGCAGACCAGGGGCTCCCTCTGTCTTACATCCTGGCTGCAGGAACACCACAGGGTGGGGCACCTGGGATGCCCCTCTGGACAGCTTTGCCTTTCAGGCTGGGCATTTCCGAGGGCCGCCCTGTGCCCTGCAGTCAGAGCCGGGCCAGGCCCCAGCCCTAGGCAAATGCTGTGGCTTCGGTTGCTTTAACAACTCGGCTATTCCAGACAAGACCTAGGCTGGGCTTCTCTTGTAAATATTGATAGAGGCCCCAGACAGAGAGGGACAAGAAAACGAGAGACGTTTTATTTATGATGGAAAAAGAAACCAACAGGAGAAAAAAAAAAATCTACAGGCCCAACAGGAGGGGGGATGTTAAATAAACCGTGGTACAGCCACTGGATGGAGTATTGTGCAACGATTGAAAAGATGTTTACAGAGGGTTTGTAATAACGCGGGGAAGTGCTTCTTTCCAAAGCTAAGTGAAGAGAGGGAGCAACTGAATTGTGTGTTCAGCACAGTCGTGCTGAGGCCAAAACCGAGCCGAGCGAAATCACGCGCAGGGGAGACAGGCTGGGGGGGCCACACCGCAGCGGGGGTTAATTGGAGAGTTTTTTTTAATACTTTCCTCTATTTTCCTATTTTTCTCTTTTCTGTAATGGCGTGGTTGGCCTACCGTAGAAAGCAACCCAAACTTAAAGTTTTGTGTTTTTTTTTCTAAAGAAGAAAATACTCTAGGTGGGAAAGCAGGACCGATGGCCCAGGGAGCAACTTCACTGGCCACAGAGGCCACGCTGAGGCTGAGGCTACGGGTTGACAGATCAGGCTATGAAACAAGATCAGGTGGAAATCCTGGACCCTGACCCCATGGAGCCACGTGGGCGGCTGACACCAGCCACGCACCCAGCTGCGGCGCCTGTGGCGTCCTGGTGATCACTCTCTCGTCCTTAAATGTATGAACACTGCCTCTCTCTTGGGAATGCGGCTTATCCGCACGCCAGGAGCCTCTCTCATAAATGCCCGTGGAACGGGATTCTCTCCTGTATGTGAAAGGCGACCGCAGACAAGCTGGGCTCCTGCCAGTTCACACCGGGATGAGCTCCTGGGAGGCAGACCTGCCCTCCTGCCCACGTGACCAAGGCTTTCAGGGCACGGCCAGGATTCCCGTGCCCTTTGCAGTCCCCCAGATTTGCACTCAGGTCTCTGCTCAGTGTCATCTTATCTGAGAGGCCTGATCACGCTGTCCCACTCCCTGACTATCCGTCTCTCTGGCACGCACCCTGCATAGGTTCTATTTATTTATGTCCTTGTTTTCAAAATGCCTCTTTTTTCCCACTAGAATGAGAGCATCTGTGGGGCTGGGATCCCTGCAGGGATCCTCCAGCACCAGGAACAGTGCCTGGCTTCACCTTTGGTAAATGTCATGCCTCCGGGTGGTCGCTGAAGGCCCGAGCTCCCTTGTTCTACCATGATGGCTCTGACCACTCTCATCCCTGAACCCAGCTCCAGAGACAAGAAACACACCAGCTCTAATAGGGAATGACGGCCTGGGGCCCTGCGCTGAAACAGTTCTGAGGCCGTTATAAGGTCTCAACAGGAAAAGGTATGACAATCGGTTAGTGATGTCTGCCAGGGGACCACAGGGAGGCAGATACAAGCTGTCACTACTTCCCAGCTCAGCCCAGGCCCGAAGCTCAGCTCTCCCTCTCACGTGAAGGTCACACCTGCCCTGTCCCTGGAATCATGTCCTTAGTTCCCACCATATGTACACAATGGACTCCTGAAAGGTTCTCCAGAGTGATCCCTAGTTCACTCTTGGCCTGGAGCCTTCCCCACACTCTACTTGGCTTGGCTGTGGCCTTGTCTTCCACGTGGCTCCTCACCTGAACCTGTCCCTGGGGCTGGATCTGACTCCACCTGCCCCAGCTCCTAGATGGGGTTCTCCTCTCAAGCAAACCCCCGCCTGGCACCACAATGCTGATGCTACCTCCTAGTCATGTCACTGAAGCCTCCCCAGCCCCAACCTCCTGGGTCCCTTGGAGGTTCATGCCTGAATGTTGACTCTGACCTTGAGCATAACCTTGGCCAAGGGGGTCACTCTTCCCAGGCACCAGCTGTAGTCCCAGCTGACTTATCCTTTCCCAGCCTCCAATTTAGGAATAAACTAAGCAGCCCACCTCCCAGGCCCTGGGCCTTGTGTGGTCCAATAAAAGTCCTTGTCATTTTTTATTCCAATCCTGCATCTTCCAAGACAGGGATGCTGAAGCCCAAGGCATCCTTATTGGCCCGTCAGCCCTACCCTGGTGCACTCCTACCTCTCCTCCTTTCCTCCATGCTTCTTGTCTCATAGAAGGAGTCCTGGCTCCCCTGGCTCCTGGCTGGGACCAAGAGCATGGCTGCTCCTCCGTCTGTGTGTGCATTTCCCTCGGATGGAGCAGAGCTGTGGCTAGAGACTGGACCAGTCTCTCTGTCTTCCTTCCAGGGGAACGGGTGACCTCCTGAGCTGGGAAGGTCTCCTCCCTTTGAGAGGTTATCAAACCTGATGTGAAAGGAGAGCCCAGTCTCCCAGTGTATCACTTCTAGTTCCTCAGAGGCTCCATCGCGGGCCTGCCCTTCCCTGGTCCTCTCCTGTCTGATGCTGGCCAGGTGGCAATATGGCACAGGGAGGGCAAATTACGCCATCGGCTCTCACCAGCTTGAAAGGGTTGACTGGCAGTGGCTGCCCCGACCCCCCAGATGTGAGGCCGGGTTGCTTGGAGAGCTGTATAGTGAAGGATCCTGAGATCTGGGGGAGAGTCAGTGGGCCCCAGGAGGACAGTGGCCTTTGGGTCACATCTCCTGCCTCTCTTGAGATTAACTGTATTCTTAGTCGACCCGACAAGAAGATGTACCATGTCAAATGGCTGCTAAAAATGGAAGCTTCTCATGCTAGAATTCCAGGTAATGAGAAAATCTAAAGTGGGCTTTGGTTAATTTACTCTGTAGGCAAAAATAAAAGGCCTTCAACTTGAGCTGTTGGACTTCTCCAACCATCTCTCCCTCTGGCTGGGTCCCCTGGGGCTGCCCTGGGCCTTCCTTCCAGTCGGGCCTGAACCACCTTCCTTTTTCCAGGTGCTTCTGGGAACCTTGGCTGTTGGGACCCAGGGGCCAGTGTTTAAGAAGGGGCCCATCTCCAGTGGGGTCAGCTTGAGGGGTCACTGGGGGTCAGCTGGCTCCTGAATCATGGGTGTGATAAGGCTGTGCCCCTGAAGTTTGCTAGCGTCCTGGAGCCACCCCCCCTCCCAGTTCCGACTTGAAGCCATCCCTGGAGATGTGGCTGCCCTTGGCCTGGGAACCTCAGTCCCTAGTTCTATTTTCACCCTTGTCCCCGGCAGCCCCCTAACAGCAAAGCACCTCAGAGCCCAGCCCCGGAAGGAGGTAGGACTGTGCCGGCCACACCCCCAGCCGCCTCCTCTCCCAGAGATGGCCCGCGGAGCAGCGGGCAGGGTGCTCCTTGCCTCCAGTTTTGCAGGAAGAGCCCAGCAGGGGGGCAGCTAGACCCTGGTCTGAGGCACATTGGGGCCGGGCAAGGTCAGGACGGTGGGCAGGAGGGTGCCCTGAGGGGAAGGGAAGCTCTGCAGCTCCTTGGGCACAAACCTGGGGGAGACGTTGTCGGCCAGGAAGAGGAGCGTGTGCCGGCGCCCCACGCAGTATATGAGGCTGCCCACCGCCGCGCACCGGAAGGCGTCCGGGCAGGGCCTCCGGTGCGTGGCGCACTCGTACCAGAGACGGGCGCTGGCACTGCAGCGGTACACGCCGATGCCCAGGCTGCGGTTGAGGTCGAAGCGGTAGAGGAAGCCATTGACAGCCACCATCTCGGCTGTTCGGTCCTTGCCGCCCGCCGTGGGGCCAACCTGCCAGCGCTGCGCCTGGGCCGAGAAGCGGAGCAGCAGGTAGCGCAGCGTGCCGCCCGTGACGAAGATGTCCCCGCCGCATGCCGTGGCTGTGTGCGCCAGGGCGAAGGTGTCGTTCGGGAGCGGCGGGGCAAAGGTCCAGCGGTCCAGGCGCGGGTCATAGCGCTCGACCGTGTTCAGACACTCGCCCCCAATGGCGTACAGGTTCCCGTCCAGGGCCACCAGCCGGCAGTGCGGCCGGGCTTGGTTCAGCGGGCACACCTCACTCCAGATCTCGGTCAGAGGGTTGTAGCAGAAGACTCGGTTGGAGGGCCAGCCCCCGGGCCCCTGGCAGCCCGACACCACAAAGACATAATTGAAGAGGCTGCAGACGGCACAGCCGCGGGACACAGCCTCTGGGGGCAGAGGGGCCAGCAGGTGCCAGGCATCCTGTTCCTCATCATAGCAACAGAGGCGGCTCGAGTTTTCCTGGGAGCCCACGTCGGCCACCACCAGGTGCTTGCGGCCCCGCAGCCGTCGCTGAAGGATCAGCTCCCTCTCCGCCCCGCTCAGGAGCCCGTAGATGTCCGGGCTGCGCAGGACCTGCAGGTAGTTGTCACTCATCACCTTGTAGGCCGCCTCCTTCAGAGCCTTCAGGTTCTGCTTCTTGGCCAAGGTCAATACCTCGTAGCAATTGCCCAGATCCAGGTGGACATCTGGGACCGAACCTGGGGTGAGAGGGAGGTGGAAGAAACTGGTCCCAGCCACGAGCTCCAGGTTGGGCTCCCCGCTGCTTCCTGCTAAGCTGGACTCCAGAGACTCCCCGGATGTGGACGTGGGGCAGCTGGATGGGGCACTGTGGTCTGCGCAGGACGGAGTGGGGCTCCCAAAGCCGTGGAGCTGCAGCTGCAGCTCGGGGTTCTCCACGATCTGAAGGAGGCTCTCCTTCCTGCTGAAGCCTTGCCCGGGGGCCGGCAGCACAGGCTGGTAGGAGGCGGCTGGATCGGCTCTACCTTCTCCGTCATTGTCATGGCCTCTGGGGACTGTTCCTGTTCCCAGGGGGCTTGGCACAGGAGGTGGAGCCTCAGCCAGGGCTGCTGTCCTGGGGGCCAGCCTGCCTCCAGAGGTGGCCTGGGAGGTAGATTCGACATAGTACTCGTACACCTTGCCCTGCAGCCTGGGCCCGATCCCCGCCACCCTCTCCTGTATGAAATTCTCCTCTACTCTAACCCGGGCCACCGATGAGAAGGTGTAGGAGGCATTGGTGGCCCCTTCCTGCTGATGCAGGGCCAGGCCCATGTCTGAGGCAGCCTGGAGAGCCCCAGCCTCTGCCCTGCAGGCCCCCGTCACGCGGGTGAAGACCCAGCTCTTGTTCATGTTGTTCTTGTCTTCCGAGTGGGCCATCCAGGGCTGGTGGGGGGACCCCTGCTCCCCAGTCCCCGTGTGCCCGGGGAGCCCACCGTCCCTCCAGGGAGCAGGCTCACCCCTCACACCGCTGCCGTCCACCGCAGCGAGGGCAGCTGGGGAGCTTTTGGGTTCAGTGGCCAGATGGGGGCAGTGGGGCAGCTCGGGCTTACCGCCAACAGCGCCAGGAGGTGCCAGGCCGGACTCCAGGCACCGCCCACCCCGATCCTCCCCAGCTCCTTTCCTCTCCGGCTTCCAAGTCTCTCCGGCCTCCAAGTCGCTGGAAGAGGCTCCCGTTGCCAGGACGGGGGAGCCCCCCGGATTCTCCCAGCTGCAGCCCCACAGTACTCCGGACCCCTTGCTTCCGCTCCGGCATCTCAGCCCCCGGTGGGTCGTCCCAGGAGCAGCGCCATGGACTTCAGGCTGCCCAGAGCCCTCTGCCTCCTCCTCGGCCTTGGCCTTGGTGTTTCTGCCCCACAGTGGGGCTCGGGCAGGCCTCGACTTGTACAGCCTGTAGGCTGCGGTCACCAGGAGCAGGGCAGCTGCGGACAGCACCAGCTTGCCGGTCAGCTGCATGTCCAAATGCCAGTCCCGGGCCTCAGCTCCTCCTCCTTCAGGGAGCATGTTTCCCAAGCCAACCTGGGGCCGAGGAATGTCAAGAATCTGATTAATAATTGCCCAATAGGGGCCGGTTCCTTGTTCCTGCTGAGCTGAGCAGAGGGGGTTCTGGGCTGCTCTGGCCGGCCAGCGAGGAGTTGGAGCAAAGGTGACTTTGAGCTGGCAGAGGGCGGCCCTGGAGCCCCAGCCGGCAGAGCTCAGGCGGGCCTCCTTGGACCCTTCAGTGCTTTCCCCGGGCGTGGGGTCTGCCGGGGCCGACCTTGTGATCAGCCACCTGGGCCAGCAGCAGCCGGAGGATGTTAAGAGCGTCCAGCCGGTTCATGAAGAGGGAGGAAGCTCTTGACCAAACAGTCACCCAATGCTAGGAAATGGTGGGGCTGGCTACTATTTGTGTGCGTGCTTTATTTTCTCTTTTGCAAATCGACTGGGCTGGGAGGGTTGGGTGTGGTGAGCATGTGGCAGGTGGAGCCACGGCAGGTGTGGCAGGAGGCCCGCCTGGGTCTCTTTCCTTTCTGTTGGGGGTCCGCTGCTTCCCACAGTGGGGGTTGGGGTCTGCAGTGAGCAGCAGGGAGGCTGAGCCCGGGACTGCAGCCAAGCCACCTGACCCGGCTCTTGAATGCCTCTGCCCTCCTGACTGAGAGAGCCGGCGTCCTGGGAAGCTCGGGAGAGCACACGGCATTCACGCCCAGATCAGGGGTCGCAGGCGTGGGGCACAGTCTCACCCTCCATGCCAGACGACCTCACAGGTGAGCGGTGAGGGAGACTCACCTGCCCCATCTCACAGGCGCTATTGGTTCTAGATCCAGACTACCTGCCCCTGCCACTTACCAGCTGTGTCACTCTTAGGCAAGTGACCTCACCTCTCTGTATCTCAGTTTCTTCATCTGAAAAATGGGGGGACAGCACACAAACCTCATAAGGTTGTGGTGAGAACAAAATGGGTTAATGTGTGTAAAGCCTCGTAGAAACTCAGTACCTATCAGCCGTTCGTCTTCCTCTCTTCTCTTCCTCCGCCTCCGGGTCATTGTCACTCTACTAATCGTCACCAGCTGGACCTTCTGAAGCACAGATCTGATTGCACCCCTCCCTAGACCGAGGTCCTCTCTGTGTCCCCAGAAGCCAAGGTAGGGGGTCTCAATCCTGTGCTTCCTACAGGGACTGGGCAGGTAAATCGAGGACCCGCCCCGTGACGGCGCCAGGCGGGCCCAGCCCTGCAGATCCCACTGTTCAGAGACACTTACTCTAGGGAGTGACGCGATCCCTCGTGATTTCTAAACGATGGCACCTAATTAAAAAGTGAGAATAAAACGCACTCTGTAGGCCAAGGGAAGCACACGCCTTGAGGGGGGCAGGGGTTGTCTCTGAAGGCTCGATGCGGAGGGGATCCTGACGCCTGCCTGTGTTCACAGCCCCCACGCTCCAGCCTCAGTTTACCCTTCCAAATTCGTCTCCTGTCTGCGGGCTCGCCTCCCCTTCTCCGGGCCCCGGCTCCGGCCGACTTGCCCCGTCTCTGCTGGCCCACAGCCCTCCGGCCCTGCGGAGTCGGCCCAGAGGCTGTTCCTCCCCCGCCTCCTCCCCTGGCCGCGCCACCCGCCCAGGGTCAGCTTCTCCTTCTTTGGGCCTCTTGTCCGTTGCTCCACTTTTAGCCCCTCTCCTGGGCCGCGGGTCAAAGTACATTCTGTTCTGCGGATTCCAAGTCCCTGAGGCCTGAATGGAGCCAGGCACAGTTGGGACCACAGCCAACGCGCATGAGGTCTTTCCGCAGGCACAGCGGGGTTGGGCACTCCGGGTGGATCTCATGTGCTGCTCAGTGTTGTTTAAGATACAATTTCATCCCGATTTAGGCAGCACCAAGGTTATGTCAGTTTGCTTGTAAACAGGGACTTCTAACTCTGCAGACCCCAGAGCTTTACAGACCTGAATTCACCCACCAGGCCTCCGCACCCGTCCCCCCAGGGACATGCAGCAGGCTCCCTTTCTTCCTGTCATGGTCAGGACAGTGATTCTGAATTTCACCGGCACCGAGACACCCGTTGAGTGTATTAGAAATGCAGGTTTCCAAGCTCCGCCCTTCCCCGCCCCTTACTGATTCAGGTGGCTCCCAGGAAATCCCCATTTTTCACCGTGCTCTCAGGAGATTTCCGTGGGTCCAGGAATGTAGATGGGTCAGTGTTTCTACCTTTCTGCTGAGAATTCTCTTCGCCCTGGGCGGGGTGAGCAGTTACTCCCTAGGCCGCCAAGGTGAATCATAGCGAGCAGGGATGAAGTCCTGGGCACTTTGCATAAGCAAAGTCATTGCATTGCCCAGGAATTCAGAGGGGCAGTATTGTCATTGCCCTCGTTTCACAGGTGAGGAAACAGAGGCTCAGAGGGGTGTGCCAGTGTCACATGGGTTGTGAGTGGCAGGCTCTTGATTTATAACCAGGTCGCAGCTGCATGGCCCATGCATCGTCCTCTGGGAAGGAGAGGCAAAGTATGAAGGGCAATGAAAAGGATGGGTCTAGCGGTGGAACCAGGGCTTTGGGGGCTGATGTGGGGTCCCCAGTGGCCAAGCTACCACTCCAGGGGTAGGGGCAGCTTTGGGACTCTCTTATCCTTGGAGGGGAACACTTGTTGCATATCCCATTGGTGTGCTGTGACCTGGTATTGTCCTCTCAGATGCACCTGGTGAGCAGATGCCATCTGGGACCCTTTGGTGTGTGTTTTTTTACCCAACAGAGGCCCCACTATGCCCTGGAGCGTTCTCCCTATGGCTCCAGTGTAAACAGTTTGAGTCAGACAATCTCTGTCAGTTGGAAACTGCTCCTGGGTACCAGGTGTGGCCAAATCGAGCCCCTGGGGCAGCAGGGGAAGGTGGGAGGACGGTGGGGACCAGAAGATACAGTCTCAGCCCCAGGGGACTGATGTCCTGATCTGGAAGATGCCACATACACCCAAGATATGCTCAAGCCACAACGTATCACAAGGGAAAGATTAATGAGGCCAGGAAAGGATTTCATAAAGAAGCATTTAGCATTGACCACTGATAAAGGAAGCAGGGATATAGACAGATTGATTGATCTATTGAACCAATATTTACCTGTACCAGGCCCTGTGCTGGGATGCAGTGACGTAGGTTAAGGAGACACACATGGCCCCTGCCCCCGTGGAGACTGCGGACTCTGGGGGAGGAAGGTGCTGAGCAAGATGATGGAGTGTGACAATACTTGTCCCGGCCCCGTGCTTTCTGGGACCTTCCCTTGTTCAAGGTCAGAAATAACACCTGTGACACAGCTGAGCACAGAGGAGGCCTTTGTAAATGAGACTTCCCGCTGTCCGCCCTCCAGTCCAGTTCTCAGAGAACACAGCCATCTGAGATTGTTTTAAAATGTAGGTTTTATTATTACTCAAGTGCGGTGAGGCCAATACATCAAGAGATGTTGTTGAAAAGATAGTTTGTTACTCACAGCTCCCATGAGGAGTTCCCTTTTCTGCAACCTGCCACCCAGGCAGGGCCACACGGGGAAGCAGCAGGGTCAGTAGGGAGTCAGAAGGGGTGAGGGGAAAGTGTAAAAGCCTTTACTGAGGTTTTCCTGGGAGGGAATGAAGGAGGCAGGGCGAACAGGTTTAGGGTTGGCTAGCTTGAATCATTTCAAGGGCCACTGGGCTATCTGTAGTTGTCTGAAGCCTGGCCCTGGGGTGATTAGGGCAGGGAATATTGGCCCTGGTGTGTGAGAGCCTGGTGAGAACCTGATAAAGGTGGTGGTTGAGGATAATGGCTATGGATTGGTTCATCTGCATGCAAAAGGTGTGCTCCTAGGCGAGTCATTTGCTACCTAGAAACTAGCTAATCCTGGGAGGGGCAGTCCCTCCTCACTTATGGTTCACCCACCTATATGCAGAACATCAAGAATACAGAGCCTAAGAGGATATAGTTACTACAGAGAATCAGGAGACAGGAGCAGGGACTTCAGGGCCCCTAAGAGGTGCCCTTCTGCCCTGCGGGGCTGTTGGAGGTGGGCTTTCGACTCTACCTTGAGGTCTCTTTCATCTGGCAGGTGAGCCCAACACTCCCACTAGCTGACTTCAGACTCCATAAATTATAGCTTTTTTTTTTTTTAGTCCATTTAGAAAAAGTGAAATGAACAAATGAAGACAGGAACGAAATTAAAAGATAATTGGAAGTCTATATTGGGCCTCTGCGAATGTGCGTGCGTGCCTCCAATCTGGTCTCTCCGTGCGGGCAGGATAAATTGAGAACTCTTCAGTTGACTCAGGGGGTGGATAGAACAGTCAGAGACAAATGCGTGCCATGCAAATAAACAGGCCCATCTTCCAGTGATTAGCTCTGAGCTCCATCTTGCTGATGCCTCCCCTGGTCTTAGCCCAGGTCTGCGTTTACCAAAGACCCATCCAGGCAGGTGCGGCAAGTGAGGCCCTGAGTGGTGGGCTGAGGCTGGGAGGAGGTGGGCATGGGCACCTTGAGAGGTGAGGTGTGTTCAGAGAGGGGGTAGAGATGGCAGAGAGGGAGGCACACATATGCACCCATGCACACATGATCCCATGTGCACACGTGTGCACATGCATGCAAACACATGCATGAGCGTACACACACACACTTAAGAGGGAGTGTGGACCTTTGAGTCTAGAAGTGTAAGCAATAAATGGATCCTGGTTTGACCCACAGGAAGACTAAGGCCGAGAGAGAGAGAGAGAGAGTCTAGCGAGGACTAGGACACAGAGAACCTCACTGGGTCTAGGCAGTGCAGGAGGAGGTCATGGATAAAACCTTACTGTACCACAGGATAGTTAGTGAGTATTTGGTGGCGGTGGCGGTGACATATGCTGGGCAGCGTCCTGAGGCTGCATCCCCAGCTGGGTGCACTGCCATGTCCACACTGGTTGTTAAAACGCTGCACTATTTCCATTCCGGTTGGTAAACAGCTACTGCCCAGCCCACCAGCCTGGCTGCCGTCCCCCCAGGCCCA